TGTTGTTAAGTGCCGTGGAGTCGGTTCCGACTTGATAGGAGACACAATACTTTTAATAATGATGGAGAGACACATACAACATTCCATTTCTAGGTACTAATCCAGCTGTGAAAGAGAAAAGAATAAGAAATAGACTGGCTTATAAAAGACATGAGAGAAGGAAAAAAGAAAAAAAAGAAAGAAGGTGAAGTGAGGGGAGGGGAAAGGGAGAGAGAACAGCAGAGTAAGGACTTGGAGAGGAGGTTCAGACACCCAATGTTATTGTTGTTAAGTGCCGTCGAGTCGGTTCCAATCCATAGTGACCCTGTAAAGGGTTTCCAAGGAGCAGCTGGTGAACTTGAACCGCTGACCTGGCAGTTCAAACCGACTTTGCAGTCCAGCGCATTAACCCAAAGTCTAAAACTTTCAAAGGAAAGATGATCACAAAGGTATGGAAAGAAGCAAGATAATGTAGCTAAGGCAGTATATGACATGTAAATTTTCCATCAAGAAAGTGATTGGGAACATCAAAGTCAAATAGTAACTGAAAGCATTCCAGTTTTGGCAAGTAGATACCTGACCCCAAAGGAACCACAGCAAAACAAAACAAAACAAAACAAAAAAAAAACCAAAAACCACCACCACCACCAAAAAACCCCATTATTAATATTTAACTTTCTAACCACCAGGCCTGTGAAAAACACTTTTAGTCTATTATGTCATTTAATTCTAATGCCAAACCTGAGGTATAGGTATTATTAGACTCATTGTGAGGATTAAGGATTAAGCAATTGAGGGGTAAAGAGGCTAAGTAGCTGATGCAAAATTACGTATCTGGTAGTGAAGACAGGGTCTAAACTGGCAGACTCCATTCATTCACTTTCTCAATCAGTATTTACTGAGCAGGTATTACTGTGAGTACCTGGTAACCAGAGTCCTGGTGTGGCGCTATGAGTTAATGCGCCAGACTGCAAAGCCATTTGAACTGCAAGGGCAGTGGTTCAAGCTCACCAGCTGCTCCTGGGAAACCCTACACAGCGTTACTATGGGTCGGAATCGACTCAACAGCACTTAACAACACAACAGCACCAACCTGGTAAAGTAAATTAGATATAGCCCTTGCTCTCAGGAGCTTACTGTCTAGTAAGAAAGATAGCCAAACATCAACTAAGCAAATCAATTATCTACTACATAATTTGATAAATAAAAACAAAGAATGAAATGACCAGAGAACAGGAATAGAGGGAAGCAAGGCATTACCAAATTAACATAGTTAAAGAGGTCTAATTGAGACCTAAAGGACAGGAAGAAGTCAGCCTTAAGAAGAAGAGCAAAATAATTCAAAGAAGAGGGAAGAGCATGTGTAAAAGAAGTGAGAGGTCATAACTACAGCATTGTGAGCACTGGGTATAGTACCAAGAGGAGGTGGGCAAGGCAGATAATAGAGTCAGAAGAGTACAGAGACCATAGCAGGTTTTTTAATAGCTTGAGTTTAGTTTTTAGTGTGACGGGAAAGCACATAATGGTTTTAGATGGTCTCGATTTGTGGTCTGAAGAGATCAGACTGCCTTTGTGTGAGTAACAACAGTAGATAGGAAGAATCAAGAGTGAAACTGGAGAGACCACCAAGGAAGATTCTTACAGGATTCTAAGAGGGATGAGAGTGGTTGCTTGGGCTTCTTGGGTGGAGATAGTGCAGATGAAAGAAATGGACTGGTGTGAGATATATGTTAGTGGCGGAAAAAGAAGCTTTGCTGGTAAACTGTATTTGAGGCGTGAAGGAAAGGGAGACACAAAGGATGGCTCTAAAACCTGTGCACTGCTCTGTATCTTGTATGTCTTTGGATTTCTTCTGTGAAAAAAGTAGCTGGATTTACACTATAGTTTTAACAAATTTTAATAACTAGTTCATGTATTAAATGTTCAGAATCACAAGTCTTCCATACTGCTAAAGTCACATTCTGATTTTAACAGCTGCACTGTAGGCATATTGTCCAGGAAGAGACATAGAGTTGTGGTGTGGTAGAAGGAGAAAAGACTTTCAAATGCCAAAGAACCTAGAGTTGAATTGCAGCTTTGCCATTTAGCTGCACAAATGCAGAGAGGTCACAATTCAGAGTTCCCAACTTTACATACACAGGTATTTTCAGTTTGATGGTGAGCATTACGTAAGGTGGTGGTGGTGGTAGTGGTGATGTGCTGTGGAGTCGGAACCAACTCATAGCGACGCTGTACAGGGTTTCTGAAGTTGTAAATCTTTATGGGAGCAGAAAGCCTCATCTTTTTCCCGTAGAACAGCTGGTAGTTTCGAACTGCTGACATTGAGGTTTGCAGCCCGATTCATAGCCACTATGCTACTAGAGCTCCTTTTACTTAAGATAAGTTGTATTAAATCCTGGCATGTTAGACTCGTTCTCACTTTCCCTCCCCTTCTCCCCCATTAGTGATGAGAATGTGAACAAACAGCTATATTTAAGAGCCCTGGTGACACAGTGGTTAAATTTTGGCTATTAACCAAAAGGCTGGCAGTTCAAACCCACCAGTTACTCTGTAGGAGAAAGATGCGGCAAGATTACAGACTTGAAAACCTATGGAGTAGTTTTATCCTGTCCTATAGGATCACAATGAGTTGGAATCCCATGACGATAGGTTTTACTTTTTTGTTTGTTTCTAAGTGCTATGAAGTAGGTTCTGACTCACAACAACCCTACAAATAGGGTTTCTGAGGAGCAACTGGTGGGTTTGAATGCCAATCTTGTGATTTGCAGTCCAGTGCTTTCTGATCCTACAGCACCACACCAGGAGTCCAATAAGGTAAGCTTGGAGAAAGCCCAGTCACAATTTAACTCTAGCCCAGACTGTCTTTTTATATTACAACAGGAGTGTAAAGTACCTTATTACACTCTGGATTCCCCTAGAGCCCAGCAGTTTTAACTGTGAGATGAAAGGGATATATATAGTTTTGTTGTTTTAGTGCCTTGAGTTGGTTCCAACTCATAGCAACCGTATAGTTTCCGAGGTAGGTTTAAACTGCTGACCTTAAGGTTCAAACTGACCTTGAAGTCCAGTGCTTATCCTATAGAGCCACACCAGGACACACATACTCTCTCTCTCTGTGTATGTATGTATATATATACACACACACATACACATATATATATGGTGGTGGTGATGTGCCGTGGAGTTGGTTCCGACTCATAGTGACCCTGCATAGGGTTTTGGAAGCTATAAATCTTTATGCGAACAGAAAGCCTCATCTTTCCCCTGTGGAACAGCTGGAAGTTTTTATATATATATATGGTGCTATGGGTTAATGCACTGGATTACAATGTCCATTTGAACCACAAGATCAGCGGTTCAACTTCACCAGCTGCCCCTTGGAAATCCTATACAGGGTCATTATGAGTTGGAACCAACTCAATGGCACTTACCAACAACTATATATATCTATACATATATCAGGAATATTATCTCAGTCATTTTATATATATATATATATATATATATATATATATATATATATATATATACATACACATACGCAGTTGGTGCATTTGAATTGCCAATCTTGTGATTAGCAGTCCAGTACTTCTACTGCAATGTCACACCAGGGCTCATATGTATATGATATATACAGATAGATAGATAGATAGATAGATTTAGATATATAATGATGGGGGCAATATTCCTGGTACACACTCCCAATAAGGCTCTAAAGATTCTATTAAAGGTGCCAATGATACTCACGTGGAATTTTAAACTACAATAGCCACCCTCACCACTTGGCTAGTAGGGTTAGTAGATAAAATATAAGACATTCAGTTAAATATAAATTTCAGAAAAATAACAAGTAGGGTTTTTTGTTTGTTTTTATGTATACTCCATGTAACATTTGGGACATTTCTTTCTTTGCCTTTTGTTTTTGAAAGTATAACCAACATCTATCAAGGGTTAGGAGTACTGGTGTGGTGCTGTAAGATAAACACTGGACTGCTAACCACAAGATCAACAGTTCAAACCCACCAGCTGCTCCATGGAACCCTATACAGGGTCGCTATGAGTTGGAACGGACTTGATAGCACTTAACATCAATAACGGAGTCCTGGTGTGGCGCTATGGGTTAATGTGCCAGACTGCAAACCTGTTTGAATTGCAAGGTCAGTGGTTCAAGCTCACTAGCCGCTCTCCTTGGAAACCCTATACAGGGTTGCTATGGGTCGGGATCAACTCAACAGCACTTAACAACAACAACAACAACATCAGTAACAACCAAAAGTTATGAGTTAGAAATTGGTCATATAAATATATGATATGAAAATAATTTGAAGATTTAGGCCAGATTTTTAGCTGGTTGATATTTAAGATTTTCAATTTCTGCTTATAGTATTGATGGGGGAAAATAAAGGAAATCCAAACATCTAGTTAATTATATAAGAAACACACAGAGCAGTGTTACTACTTATTATTCCACAACATGATACGGAGCTTGCTCCAGGATGAAAATCAACACACCAGTTATGTTTGGCTATAAAACAGTTGTCAGCTGAACTAAACAAAGGCTTAATGGTGTTACTGATTCACAATCTGGTGCGAGCTCTTTTTCACAGAGATAGGTCCAGTCTGGGGACAACATTTTGAGTAGCACTGATGGAGAAGGCTCGAAGCTTCTCTATATGGTACCTGTACTATGATGGCATATATAAAAGGCCCTTTTCATTCTGACCAGTTTGATGACCTTGTTGTTATTGTTGTGTGATGTTGAGTCAGTTCTGACTCATAGAAACCCTGCATAGGGTTTCTGAGGAGCAGCTGGTGAGTGTGAACCACCAACCTTGCAGTTCAAACCAACCTTGAGGTTGAGCGGTTATCCTACAGCGCCACACCAGGACTCCATAGATCCTCTTATTTCCTTGAAATAAAGGCATCAAAATGTTCTCCATTCTAACAATGTGTAACTAAATTTAAATATTTATCAAAACAATAGTTGCCCCAATTTTAGAAAGAAGAGGATGTGTGCTTACTCTTCTTGACGTAATTCATTGACGCTGCGGTCCAGTGAGATCATGTCACTTGCCACCATGTTAAATCCAAATTCTTTAATGCTGGCTTGAACAGCAGGTTTGAATTCTGGTCCCAAAACCAATGGCTTGGCTTTCTCTCCAGGGCCATCAACCATTCCATGAGGTTCAGGTTCTTTGGGTTCAAAGTTACCGAGGATCCCTGGGCGTAGCACAGGATCATGGTAGGTGAATGTCTGAGGCTTAAATGTGAGATACTGCCTCTGGATTATGTCTTTCTGGGAATCTCCGCCAGCATGGTGTTCATGTTCATTTTTGGCCTTGTTTTTTCTTCTAATAGACTCTAAATCCACTTCTACTCCTTCAACATGAGGCCATGGTACCACAGGTTTGAATCTGTCATCCCCAGGAGCTAATCCATTGCCTCCTCGGTTAGGCATGGGATTATTGACATCTCTGTCTTCCTATATAAAAGGGAGGGGGATATATAATGAGTACATGAAAGCAAACCACCACAGCAGAGTTTATGATATTAATTTTATGGTACAAATAAGAGGCTGAGGTAATAAAAAAATAATTTAAATGTGAAATAGAACCAGGCCATTAATCAAGACTTCATATTAGCATACCAAGAAATAGGTTCTTTACTCACTTCTTAACTCCAAAATAAATGAAAAGAATGCATTTTTATTCTCTGCCCCCCCCGCCCCCCCCCCCCCGTCAATCTATTCTCCAACAATACTTGGTTAATAAAGCAAATTATTAAGGGTTAGAACAGTGAGGTTCTAGCTCTTTGATTAAAATGGACACTTTAAAATAGGTCATGTTGTACTTTCCAATCATTCAGTGTACGACAAATATAATTTTCTGTCAATGATACAACAAGATGGTGGCAGTGGTACTAGATGTCATCCATTAGTAGAGACAAAGTGAACTGGAGCAACTGTAAAACAGGCTAACTGGTCCACCACTTCACTGACTACTAAGACTATAAATATGGTTCCTTAACAGATTTATAATAGAATTAGCACCATCTAACCAAATTATTTTGTACAGTGTTAAAACTATCTTTAAAAGCTATGCTAAAAGCTTTGTTTTAAAAAGAATCTAGAAAAAAGGCTCCAGGTGTGATGTTGATATACAGGTTGTTGTCTAAACTAAAAATACAAGTTGCTATAGTTTATTCAGAGACAAAATTCTCTACAGAAAAACCAGTTAATTCTGATTTTAGTTTAGTTGATGCTAAAGTTTTTTGTAACAGTTGGCTAGAAAACGATTTATCTTAGAGATTTCAAAAATAATTTTTTTAAATATCTACTTAGCAATATAAGCATATGATACAAAATTCAAAGGATCCCAACAGGTTCATCATAAAGAGCAAATTTTCCTGTACTCTCTTCTGTGGTGAAAACCACATCTACAAATCTCTTGTGAATTCTTCTAGAAGTGTTATATACATATTAACATACATACACATATATGTTACAGAATTTTTAACAGATATAAACTTCATGCTTATCTTCCTTCAGTAGTTGTTTTGATTTTTTCTATTGACTTAAGGATTCTTTGTCCAATCTTTAATTGTTGGTTTTCCTTAGGATTCTTTTAGAAGCCTTGTTGTCATTCCATCCTCATACTAGGTTATCTCAACATCTTTTCAAGCTGAGCAATCAGTTACAGATTGATAATTGCTACATCCATTTTCCAGCCCACATCACAATTCTGATCTAAAGACCTTATAATCAACTGTTTCCTGAACACTTCTACTTATGTCTCTCTGGTATCTAAATTTAACATACCCCCAATTGAATGTACCATCCACCCTGCCTCCCAAACCTGATTAGCTCAATGCCAACCCTATCTCAGAGACTGGAAACACCATTTACTCAATTGATGAAGTACAAATCTGCATGTCATCCTAATCTTCTTGCTATCTTTTAACATCCAGTCAATTGCTGAGCCCAACCAACTTTTATCACCTAAATAATTCTTGAATCTGGATACTTCTCTCTATATTTCTCACTACCATTGTCTTAGTTGACGTCATCCTCATCTGTTAACAAGATCACTACAATAGTAATAATAGTGATGACTGTCAACACTATGTTCTAAATGCTTTGCATATAGTAATTTATTTAATCTCATTAACCAGGTGCTTTGAGTACCAAGAATATATTTGACATATTGAACAGTAATGACTGAAGACCAGACAAGTTTTAGGACAACACTGAAAACATTATTCATGAAGAAAGCAAAAGGTCATTAAAAAAAAAGGGAAAGAAAGATAAATGGATGTCAGAAGACCCTGAAATGTGTTATCGAACATAGAAAACTTAAAGCAAATGGAATAAAAGAAGAAGTAAAAGAGATGAACAGTAAATCCCAAAGGGCAGCTCGAGAAGACAAAGTATTAAAATGAAATGTGAATAGACCTGGAGTTAGAAAACCAAAAGGGAAGAACACACTCAGAATTTCTCCATATGAAAAAAACTAAAGAAAAGACTCAAGCCTTGACTTGCAATACTCAAAGATTCTATGGTAAAAATATTGAACAATTAAGAAGCATCAAGAGTAGATAAAAGGAATACACAAAAATCTTGTATCAAAAATAACTTACTGACATCAGCCATTTCAGGAGGTAGCATGTAAACAAGAATTGATGGTATTGAAGGAAGAAGTCCAAGACACACTGAAGGCATCAATGAATAATAATACTCTAACTCTAGGAATTGATGGAATACCAATTGAAATGCTTCAACTAACTAATGCAGTGCTGGAAGCACTCACTCATCTATGTTAAGAAATTTAGAAGTAAGCTACATGGTCAAGAGATATATATTTGTGACCATTCCAAAGAACTGTGACCTAACAGAATGTACAAATTATTGAACAACATCAATATCACACACAAACAAAATTTTGCTAAAAATGATTTAAAAATGGTTGCAGCAGTATAGACAGGAAACTGCCAGAAAGTCAAGCTGGATTCAGAAGAGGATAAGGAACCAGTAATATCATGTTGAAAGCAGAGAATACCAGAAAGATGTTAACATGTGTTTTATTGACTATGCAAAGACCATGGACTGTGAGAATCGTAATGAACTATGGATAACATTTTGAAGAATAGGAATTCAGAACGCTTAATTGTGCTTATGTAGAACCTTTACAAAGCTCAAGAAGCAATTGCTCAAACAGAACAGGAAGATACTGCACAGTTTTAAATCAGGAAAAGTGTTCATCAGAACTGTATCCTTTCACCTGAATGCTGAGCAAGTATTCCCAAAATATGAACTATTTGAAGAGGAATGCAGCATCAGGATCAGAGGAAGACTCATCAACCACCAGCAATATGCAGAAGATACATCCTTGCTTACTGAAAGGGAAGAAGACTTGAAGCATTAATTGTTGAAGATCAGAGACTACAACCTTCAGGATGGATTACAGTCAATATAAAGAAAAAAAATTCTCACAACTGAATCAATAAACAATATTATGATAAATGGAGAAAAGATTGAAGTTGTCAGGTATTTAATTTTACATGGATTCACAGTCAATGCCCAGGGAAGCAGCAGTTAAGAAATCAAATGACATATTGTTTTGGGAGAGTCTGCTGCAAAGCACCTCTTTAAAATGTTAAAAAGCAAAGATGCCACTTTAAAAGCTAAAGTGAACCTGACCCAAGGAATGGTATTTTCAGTCACCTCACATGCATGCAAAATTAATAGGGAACAATGAATAAAGAACATCGAAGAAGAACTGATGTCTTTGCATTATCCATCAAGTGTCAGAAGAACAAACAAATCTGTCTTGGAAGAAGTACAGCCAGAATGCTTTGTAGCAGTGTCTCATGTAATTTGGATATATTATCAGGATGTACCAGTCCCTGGGGAAGGACATCACGCTTTGTAAAGTAGAGGGTCAGTGCAAAAGAGAAAGACCCTTAAGGAGAAGGGTTGACACTGTGGCTACAATAATGGACTCAAACATAGCAACGATTATGAAGATACAATCAGATTGTTGTTGTTGTTGTTAAGTGCTGTCGAGTTAGTTCTGACCCATAGCGACCCTGCATAGGGTTTCCAAGGAGTAGCTGGTGAGCTTGAACTGCCTACCTTATAGTTCAAACCAACTTTGCAGTCCAGCACATTAACCCACAGCACCACACTGAAGTATTCTGTTCTTTTGTATATGGGGTCACTATGAGTTGGAACCAGTGCAACAACATCTAACAATGATTACCATCTCTGTTTCACAGACAGAAAACTGACAGAGAAGTTATCTGAGATCAGAATCAGAAAGTGGATAGAGTAAAATTTGAACCTAAGACATCTGAGGCAAGTGTTTACATTCTCTTAACTGTAGTGTTTCTTTTATCCTAATGTGTGTAGGGTCCTGGTGTGGTGCTGTAGAACAAGTACTGGCTTGCTTACTGCAGATTGATGGTTCAATCCTAGCTGCTATTCCTTGGAGACCCTATACTTGGTCACTATGAGTCAAAAACGTAAAGAAAACAAAAATCCTTACCACTGGACCAACAAACAACATTCTTGGCAATGGAGAAAAGTTTGAAATTGTCAAAGACTCCATTTTTCTCAGATCAACCATCAATGGACTCATGGAAGCAGCAGTCAAGAAATCAGATGTATTGCATTAGGCAAATTTGCTGCACAAGACCTTTTTAAAGTGTTCAAAAGCAAAGATGTCAGTTTGAGGACTAAGGTGCACCTGTCTCGAGCCATGGTATTTTCAATGACCTCATGGTCATGTGAAAGTTGGACAATGAATAAGGAAGACCATAAAAGAATTGATGCATTTGAGTTATGGTGTTGGGGGAGAATATTGAAAGTTCCATGGACTGCCAAAAGAAAAAATAGGTCTGTGTTGGATGAAGTAGAGCCAGAGAGCTCTTTGGAAGCAAGGTTGGCCAGACTTCATCTCTCATACTTTGGACATATTGTCAGGAAGGACCAGTCACTGGAAAAGGATATAATGTTTGGTAAGGTGGAGGGTCAGAGAAAAAGAGGAAGACTACCAGCGAGATGGACTGGCAAAGTGGTAGCATCAATGGGCTCAAGCGTAGCAGTGATTGGGATCGGGCAGTGTTTTGTTCTGTTTTGCACAGGGTCACTATGAGTTGGTACCTACTCCATGGCACCTAATGAGTCAAAAGTGACTTGATGGCACTTAACAACATTGCTTCCCTTTATTATTTTTTTCGTAGATACCAGTTATAGTGACTTTGAAAAAATTCAAACATGAATATGTTACATTCCCTGCTTAAAATATTTCACTTGTGGCCCACTACTCTCCAGAGAGTCTATATGCCACTTACTTCTCCACCATTTTTCTGTAAAGGGCCAAATAGCCTATTAGGCTTTGCAAACAAGTCAAAATTATTCAGGTTTGCTGTTGATGGACATGGCTGTATTTCAATAAAACTATAGTCCTGGTGTGGCGCCGTGGG